CCCCAGGGTCAGGCATGCTCCTTTGATCTTGCCTTTCAGACTAGAAACACAAAAGTCACCACCAAATCTTTAGGTGTGGGAGAGAAGCCCTCAGCAATGCCTGCGCCAGCACATTTTGGGGAGCAGGCCAGTTCCGGGTCTGGTAAACCCATTGTAGACTTTAAATCTGCCTAAGAGGCAACCTTATCAGGAGAAAAGGCTTCAGCTGACACACAAGGTTCGCTGGTGCCCATCTGTGCTCACAGACAGGGTTTGCAAACTCCAGCAGGTAGGTGCAAAAGGAAGGGAAGAGTCACACACCAGAGGGAGCAGGGCTTTGGCAATAGGAATCTCACCGCAGAAAGCTTGCAGGCATGCAGCTATTTTAAGAGCACGGGATATGCACCCACACATACACAAAGGCATGTGTGTACACAGTCATAAGCATATCAAACAGCTATAAACGTTTACAGGTGTCCTGCAGCTTAGTGGGGGTGGGGCACTTCTTCACAAAATCTGCAATTTTTATGGGAAGGACTTAATCCAACTAAAGCTGTGATACTAGAAGAGATTATTTTAATGATCTGCCCCTATGTTTGTCTTTTTCTTCACTTTAGGAATAAATCTGCTCCCAGAAGCAGTATATTGTACTAAGTGTTGTACCCAATCCCTCTAGCCCTGCTGCTTTCCCAATCTGATTTTAGGCTTGGGCAGCCTACGAATGTTCGGGTCTCTGGGTGCACTCAGAGCTGGGCTGAAAGTCTTTAGCTGAATCAGTGCTACCGCCAGGCGTATATGCCATGAACAGGGCTTGCTTTTGCCTTTGGAAGCTACAGGTTTTCTTTCTAGACTTCTAGTTCCCCTCTCTCCTGACACCTAAGCTATGTGCCCACTCACCCCCCAACTCCAATACGCACCCACACTTCTTGTTTCCTTCCCCTTCCCAGCCACTCACAAGAGAGGGTCAGCCAGGGTCTACCCTTGGACTGTTGACCACCTCTTTCCTCTTTCTGAAGCAGTTCTAAAACTGGTCCATGGGGTTTCAGACCTCCCCCTGGGTAAACAGGAAAATGTTTTGGAAGTTAAGATTTTGGAACACAGTGAAATGGCCCTACTAAGATACACACTCCAAATTGACAAAAATTAGAAAGTCTGACAATACTAAGTATGGAAGGAGTGTAAATTTATACTACCACTTAGGAAAACAGTTTGGCAATATCTCCTAAAGTTGAAGATAAGTATGACTGACGACCCACTAATTCTATTCCTACTTACACACCCTACAGAAATGCAGACATGTGTGTACCCGGGTACATGCACAGGGATGTTCATGGGATTATTATGAATTATGAAACTTCAAACAACCCACATATCCATCATCAGTAGAACAGATAAATTGTGGTATATTAATACAATAGAATACTACACAGCAAAAAAAAATGAATGAACCACAAGACACAAAAACAACATAGGTAAATATTAAAAATATAAAGTTGGGTGAAAAAAGCCCAACACACACACACACACACACACACACATAAATTTTGTAGGATTCTTTGTATTTAAAGTTCAAAACAGGCAAAACTATTATATTTTGGGATGCATCCTTAAATGATGAAACTATAAAGAAAAGCAAGGCAGATGATTAACATAAAAGTCTGGATAGAGGTTCCCGTCGGGGACAGGGCGTGAGTAAGAGAGGGGCTGCGGGGGCATTTTGCGGTGTTAACATTGCTCTATTTCTCAACCTAGGGGGTGGTTACGTGGGTATTTGCTTTATAATAATGTGTTAAACTGTATATTCATTGTTTATGCACTTTTCTATGCATGTGTTATTTTTCATGATTTAAAACAAAAGTTTAACCAAAATCATTCCACTAAGCAGGGCTGCTCCCAGAGCTGATTTTACCAAGAGGTAAGACTTAGAACAGTTCAGATTCCATTTCTCTCTCCTTCCTTCCTCTTTCATCTGCAAATGAAGTTTCCATTCCTGCATCCTCCTATATACCTGAGGTTGGACTGTGGCTGTATCCCATACACATGTGCCCGCCTACACTGCCAAGCACTCATCTCACTCTGGGCAAAATGCCTCTCCCATCTGACCCCTTTTGTCGTGTCTGACCTCCAAAGAACTCCCTCTGGGGTTCAGGAATATTCAAGGACCGGGAGCAGACTTTCACTTCCATTTCTCCCGCAGAGCCAGGCAGGAGAAGGAGTGTTTTTTCCATTTATCCAACATTCTGCCTTTTCGATTACTGCACACTCCAGACAGTCAGCTGGCATGAGCCTTGAGACGAACTCAAGCCAAAATACAGTGCGCCACTCCTTGGGCCCAGGGGCTTGGACCCATGCAAAGACTGCACTGTCACACCACGGCACTGCCTTGAACTGTCTCGTTTTGGAAAACTTCCCACTGGGTGGGAACTTCCCTAACTCAACTTTAACCCTAGTTAATAGGACTATGGGACACGGTCACAGTTCTGCCTAGAAATTCCCTTGGAAGAGCTATCGTCTAAAGTTCCTGTTAGGAAAAACTGATGCTTGCAAGGCAGACAGCAATGATTTGAAAAAACTTACGGGGTTGATTAGAAAGAGCTCTGGACCAAAAACCAGAAGCCCTACGCTTCCTAACACCATCATTCTAGGCAAGTCATCTAACTTCCTTGGGTCTCACCCTGCCTAGCTCACAGGAACAAACAGCCTAAATGTATATGAAAAGCTATACAGATCTAAGGGGTTATTAATATTACTATTATTAAAGGTCCAATTTTTGCTACTTTTACTAAACATACCACAGTTTTGAAAAAAAGATACACACTCTCATTGATGTAACTAAGATTGCTTTTGGCCAGAACCCAGCCATCGTGTGACTACTGAGAAGATACCACCCTACTGGGCTCATGGCATTGTACCAAATTGACCCACACTCTTACCCTTGGCCAGCAGGGAGGGCTCAGCTGCTGGGCAAAGCTGGAAACAGGTTTTGGCCCTTGCACAGAGCCCAGCCCACTGGCCTCGCAGGCTGAGCCCCTGACCTTGGCCTTCTGAGCACTGTACTCTCCCCTTGGAGCTATCTTTCCCAGGCTGTGTTCTCCAGACAGAATGAAAACTACGTGGCTGTCAAGGTCAGGTGAAAGCAGAAGAGGTGGCTGTCACCCCTGTTCCTATAGAAATGCAATCCTTTTCTTAAAGGGGCATTGTACATTTGGACGGTTCTGGGGGCCTAGGGAAAACAGAGGCTCTTTCCAGTAATGGAGTTGGTTTAATTCCTTTTGAATGCATCTGAAAGAACTGAGATGTGGTTTTAGATAGGAGGAGGAGCCCCAAGCCTGCACAAAGCCCATTGGTGGCAGGATGGTGCTGACCAGCCCCATTCTCATCATTCTGGCTGTCAATATTGGGGAAGGAGAGACCCAAGACGCCTGGTGGCCTAGTTCTTGGAGGGAGGCCCTTGAAGAGCCTGGGCAGAGAGTGAGGAGGGGGCTGATGTCCTGTTGGCCACCTTGACCTGTCTGCGAAGCTCAGGCTCCAGAGCCCTGACCCCTTTCATCAGACCTCGTAACTGATGTGCTCTGACCCTCCCAGAGCACATGGTCATCTTCAGAAAACTCCTCATCACAGCACTGGAGGAGCCAAGCCTAAGGGTGGGTGGGGAAGGAACAGGTGTTCACCTTCTGTGACCATTTTCAGGGGTGGAAGGAGGGTGCTGAAACCCACCCTGGTAACTGCAACATCTCCTCACCTCTATGCCAGCTCTCTTGGCCCAGCAATGTGGGAACGTTTGTCCCCAACCTCTCCTTGGTCAGAACCCAAGTGCCTTGTTTAGCCATTTCAAAGTATATTCATAATGATCAGGGCTCCTTTCACCCCCTTGGCAATCACACAGGGTAGGGAGGGTTCCAGTCCCACTTCTACAGATGGAGGAAGCAAGGCAGGGCGCTTGGCAGTAGCAAGCAAAGAGTCATTCATTCATTCTGTCCTGACTCCCACTCTGGTGCCCCTTCTGCCACAAACTACTTTTTACATCCTACACCTCCTAATCACCCATCACAGAACCTCATCTCCTCCACAGTAGACCCCCTAAAGGATCACTTTTTCACGAGGAATATTGATAAGTTTACAGTACACAGTATCAGGATGACTGTTATTAAATTTACCACTTACAGTAACACTCTAAAAATTAAAGAAATAGATTTCTACTTGAAGTAGCAGCTCTTTGAGTCACTGTTTCAAGTATCAGTCCAAGAACTGGAGGCCAGTCAACAAAACACACCCATAAAGCTGTTTACTGATAAGGCTGAATGATAGTCATTACTTTTTGGGTGACTAAATGATTTCTCATCCATATGTTAAAGCATTGCAGCCATAAAACACGGTCAACATCATTGTTGTATCTCTAACAACTCCCAGTTGCCACCACATCACACACCACTAGACGAAAACCACACACCGGCTGTACATCCGGAACCCAGTCAGAATAATGTAGTGTCTTCGTCTACGAAAATTGCATTACTGGTCCATTCATCCTGGGTTGACCAGCCTGAATGCCCAGTAGAGAATATTAATTATTAGTAGTCATTTTCATGTCTTCTTTCTCTAAAATGGATGTGAGATGGGTTCACACACACACATACACAGAGGCATGTACCAGAACAGTTAAAGAAATTAGCAACCATATACCAAAGCGGGAGATGACTCCACCTTAAAACTAGAAGTAAGATGCTTATTGTATTTTTACATTTCATTTAGCTTTGAGTTCCCTAGAAGTCAAGGTAAAAATAGAAATACTTGTTTACACGGTTCTTATAGATGAAAAAAAGAAGGTACAGCATTTACATTTCTATTTCACTGACTCTCTTTGTCACCAACAATTTGGCATGATTTGGGATGAATGTTTTAAGTATATTTTTTCTTTTCAAAGAATAGAATGGGCTTGTGCTTTCTGAAAAAATATTGTGGGAAGTTTGGTATACTTTCGAGCTTGATCAAGAGAAAGATACAGGAACCAGAATCTTTCTTACCTCCTCCAGTCTATCCACTCGCCCCACGAGTTTGGTGGTGACCGAATGCAGCTTCAGGAGATCCAGGCCATAGAATGCTCCTTCCAGCATGTCTATGATTGTGGAGAGCTGTGAAGCAAGGGCAAGGAGTTAGTCCAGGGCTGGGGCAGACGGACCACAGGGGGACAAGTTTCCTTTCAGATCTCCATGTTGGAGGCTTGACAGGGCAGCCACTAGCCAGGAATTGAGAGGTGGCCCTCGGAAACATGTTTGTGCAGGCAGGGACGTAGGTAAGCATAATGGTGTATTATATATTCTGCCTTCTGGAATATTTGGATAAGCAAATGGGAGAACCCTACAAGAACAAGTAAACCCAAGGTTTAGACATCTTCACGAACTGTTTACGCCCCTTTTATGAAATCTGTTGGTTGCACACGCATCTCTCTTTCCTACTAGTCTGTGAGCCCTTGAAAGTTGTGGCTGTCTCCTTCATCTCTGTTTTCCCAAGATACCTAGCATAGCACCTGGCTTATACAGGTACTGTTACTCCATAAATACTCAACAAAGTGGCTATAAACGTCAATATCTTGAGGACATGCTTCTGAGACACTCAACTTCATTGTCCAGTAAAGGCCCTGAAAGGCACCAGCGCAAAAAGCTAAAGTGGCCCTGGGGCAAAAGAGCCCCAGTGGCCCATCTTTGAGGTGGCAAGCTGCCACGGAGCTCCCTGCCTTCTCGGTTTTTATCAAGACTACCCTTCCTGCCAGTACACAGCCGCTGGGAGGACGGTGGCCGAGACTCTGGTGGCCTGCAGGGCATGCAGAGTGCAGGCAGAGGGGCAGATGAGAGATGCTTAAACAGAGCCTCCCTGCCAAGCACCAGTCCCTGGAAGAGTTTGCTGGGCCACACTTTTGCAACCTCTGCTCCCCATTCCTCTCCTTCATCTGGGAGCAAGCTCCTTCCTCCCCACCGGAGGAAGACAGCTGAATCCTGGAAAAGAGCCACGAAAGGGAAGCCGGCCAGTATGTACTACGGAGATTTTCTGATGCCTAACAGAAATTTTGCTTGATGTTGTTCCAGAAGTCCCCAGAGTCCAATCCTATAACTGGGTGACTGTGGCACTTAGTTCAGAAAGTAGTTTCGTGGCAGAGCTGCAGCTCTGAGCAATGTGGCTGGATCCTGTGACCCTCCTTGTACTGGTAAACACGACTGTGCTTAAAGAGATACCAATGCCTGCCCGTCACTGAGTGGGTGCCAGGCAGAGCAGCAGCGCCTCACACGGCCGTCCGCTCATTCATCTACTTAATTGAGTGTCAGGCATTGTGCCAAGTACTCGACAGTTGTCATCTCACTGATTTTCACAACCCCAAGATGTTAACTTTCCCACATTTTATTCAAGGAGACTGAGATTAGACAAGATAAATAGCTTAAGCAGGATCACACAGCAATGACTTGAACCCAAATCCATGTGACTGCAAAACCAAGCTCATCCCACCTACCCCACCCTGCAAGCGAAGAGGGAAGTGCGAGATCAGATGAAGCAGGCAGCCAACCCGTGGGGCTGCCCAGGTAGGGCCTGAGCTTCCCGCCCCGTGGAGGACAATCGCAGGATCATGGTTCAATGACCTAGTCTAGAGCAGGCCCCAGGCCTCTCCTTCCCTGGGCCACCCCAGCCCTTATGCTGAGGACCAAAAGGCTCGCTCCTCCTGTGTGTCTTTTGCCTCTTCAGGGTGCGTGCGGGGCTGACAGCACGTTGTGGCAGCACTTTTCCTGGAGAACACCGAGTTCTTTTGGCCAGCTGGGCCTGGCAGCTGCTCCCAGGCCCGGCCTCCCTGGCTCCGTGAGGAGGAGCAGGCACACTTCGCTCTGAGCATCTCCCTCAGACTCCAGGGCTGGAAAGGACCAGTTTATGGAACACCAGCCTTGGATCCACACGCAGCACTCCAGGGACCAGGACCTGACCTCCTCCCAAGGCCTTACCGCCAGCAGTGGCCCTGCGGGACTCATGGGCCCCTAAAGGACCCTCATGGGACACCCACGGCATTGCCCCGCACCAGGTCCTACCTTCAAGTCCTGGCTGTCTGCCTCCCGCAGCTTCTGGAGCCTGAAGTCTCCCTCACAGGGATTGAGGGCCGACGGGGGCGCGACACAGGCACACTTGCAGGATGGGCCTGAGGTGATGGTCTCCACCGTGTAGAAGTCTTCCTTCCTGGAGGCCCCTGCGTTGATCCTCTGGCAGGCGTCTCGGCCCAGGGGTCTCACCACGCACTTGCACTGACAGTCTGAGCCCTCGGACACGGCCTTGACTTTGTCGTAGTCCCCCAGCAGCTAGACACACACACACACAGAATGGGTTGGAGACATTCAAACACAGGCATCAGCCGGGCTCCTGAAGGAGGCTCTCCTACTTTGTCAAATGTCCTGCACTAGCCAGAGACCTCAGACAACTCTGAACCATGGAGTGAACAGGTCATCCAGATGCAATTTGCTGACTCTGACATTTCCTTGAAGGCACTGAGTTCAGCCTTCTTCGTTTGTCTTGGAAAGCTGTATTTTCTCAGGGGGCCTTGGCCTTTCATCATTTGAAGGAAAAAACAGATGAGCCCCATCATTCTTCCAATGGCCCTTGCCTTTAGCTAGAATCCACATTTAGATGAGAAAAGGGAAAGACGGGGTTGAAGGAGTGATTGGAAGTTTGCAGACTACTGGCTTCTCTACTCATTCATTCATTCATCATGTATGGAGTGCCTGTCAGGACGGGGAGCTGCTGTGAGAGGTTAAGAGAGGGGCCGGAGAGCCCGCTCCCAAGGACCCTACAGTGCAGGAGGCAGGCAAGCAGCAGTCACACAGAGCAGAGAGCCGTAAGTGCCCCTGAAGAGGCAGAGACAAAATGCACTGGGAGCTAAGAGTGGCTCCCACTGGGAACCAGGGAAGACTTGGTGGAGGAGGAGGTATTTGATCTGGGCCTTGAAGAATGGGTTAGATTTGGAGAAAGGGAATTGGGAGCAGAGAGACAGGTCCGGAAGTCGGTAAGGTTTTGTCAGCATAAGGGATCATTTGGCTCCTATAACAGCTTCTGAATCCCAACTCCAGGCCAAACCCAGGAGAGCAAACTGGCAGCACCTGCTGCTTCCATAATGCTAAACATTTCCTGCTGAACGCTTGCCCCTGCCAGCCTCCCCTGGCAGGAAAACACACACTAGCAGGCTTGCTGGAGCACTAACCCTGGGCACTTGCTGGGAAAAGGCTCCCCCCAGGTCCTCTCCAACAGGCCCGACATCCCCAAAGCCAGGGCTCCCTTCCTAGGCAGGCAGAAGGGTTCCCTTCACCTGACTGATGATCCTGACAGGCAGGCACTGAGCTGGTTTGCGTGGAAATGTTCCTTGGGACGCTGTCTGGGGGGAAAGAAGGCTTGTAATGTTTTCCTTGCAAAGGCTGGGTTTCTTCTAACACTAATATTTGCTTTAGGGCCGTTGTCAAATACAGAATGGATCAGTGGAAGAAGGAGGTGTAGTTCAGGGTGACTTAAGCGGCCGTTCTTTACAGGCTAACAGTAAATCGTGGCTGTCTACTCTCTGAAACTCTGCCTAGATTCCTACATAACCCTGCTCTGAGAACCCTGGGTGGATTCCTTCCTTTCAGGAGGCTCAAGTTTCAGGAAAGCTTTTGTTGATGGTGTTCCAGAGCCCCAATGTGACAGATTTTTATGTCTTTTGATTTAGGGGTCAGTGTGAGGTTGTGGGTGGGTATAGGGCATATATTAGCATTATTATTACAGGAACAGTGAGGAGACTAGTGTTTAATGAATCCCAAAGTGGAGCTGATCATTCTCCCTGCAGAAAGGAGATGATCCAGTCCTAGGGCTTAGTGGAGGTGCAGGCTGCACTGTAGGGACCCTTTGTCGGACATCCCTCATCCTGAGGGTTTTGGCGACACCCACGGCACGTCATCGTGCCGGCTCTGGAGAGCACGAAACAAATGCTGCCGAGAGAAACATCCCTCACAGTCACGAGAGGTGGGCCGAGGACTGTCAGAGCCTGGCTCTAGCCACGTCGCGTGCTCTTTAGCCTACAGCCCCTATCTGTACAACGGGGATCAAGGTGTTTTGAAAATTGAGTCTGATAAAATGCGTTTAAGTACTTCAGAAACAGACATATGACAAAGCCTGTCACTGTCATCTGTCATATGGCCCGTTGACAGTCTGCCAAAGCTGCCCAGACCTGCATTTCCATTCTACCCTCCGAATACACTGAGTCTTGTCATCACCCCTCTATTTCGGGGTCACCTTGCATTCATCACACATGTTGCCGTTTTGTCCACACCCCATGCTTCTGCCTGGGTGTCTCACCCTCTGCCATAAAATATCTTCCCATGGGTTGCACCATCTGCCTCCCGTCCAACATACCCGCCTGTTTTCACATTCCAATTCTGACAAACAGCCACACAGACAAGAGATACTTTTCACAACCCTGAAACCAAAAAAAAAAAAATGTTTTTTTTCTTTCTTCTCAAATAGTCGTGTGGAGTCTCCCCTTCCATCTCCTCTCCTTTCTCCTGATTTGGTAACCTTGAAAGACCCCATGATTTTGAGAGGAGGACCATGTCCTTTCTTTAAGATAATATGCTGTAAATGAAAAGCAAATGCCCTTCCCCATTGGTAATGGAAGGAAAAACAGCGGCCCCCAAACGCTTCAGCAAGGACCACCTCCGGCTCTTGCCACCTTTTGGGACAAGAGGTGTGGTCATGGGACTGGCATCCTACCTGAGATAAAACGTTCTCCTGGTTGTCCGCCTCGTTTTGCAGAGTCTCATCCTCCGTGGGCGCCACTGTCTGCACATCTGGGGGCTCGCTTGTCCCTGTAGGGGAAGTGCTGGACGCCCAGCCTGGAGTCACAACCAGAGCGAAGCAGAAAACCAGCAGCAGAGGCTTGGCCATGAGGGACGCGACCAGAGGGTCCTCGGCCCCTTCAGAGAATGGCTGGGGTCGGGGATCTTGGCAAAGATTGAGGCGAGAGGGTGTCTTGGCTGGAGCCCGAGAGTGGCTGCTCGGAGTGCCTTCTAAAGCTGGGTGCGGCTAAACGGGGCAAGAGGACGCGTCCCAGAGACCCTGGGCATCTCCTTCCCGACGCGAGCAGCCTTGAACTGGCGGCCCCAGTGGAGGATGGGGCGGTGGGGGCGGCACCGGCTAGCTGCGCGCGTCGCCCGCTGGAGAGGGCTCAGGTGGAAGGAAGGCGTCCCGCAGACACCGGCAGTGCGCGCCGGCGCGGGCAGCGGGGAGCCTCGGGGCGTCTCGGGGCGCACGGGGACCAGGCACGGGGCGCGGGACAGGCGGCGGCGGCGGCGCGGGCGGCTGGGCGAGGGCGCCGCGGAGAGCTCGCGCGGAGGGAGGGCGGAGCCTCTATTGTGCCGGGGCCGCGGAGATGCAGCCAGTGACGGCGCGGAGGAGGAGGACCGCGAAGCGCACGGCGCCCGGGCGGAGGGGCGCCCGGCCGACCCCGCCCCGCTCCCGCTGCGCTGCCGCGCCCGGCGAGGGCTGACGTCGGCAGGGCGCTCCTTTCCTTTCATCCGACCCCAAATGATGAGGAGCGGGTAGTTACCCCGAGCGGGCTCCCCGAAGTTTCGGGGTCCCTTGTGCCCATTCTCTCCGAGAAGAGCGGGTTTCCTCCGGGTTGGGAGACAGGCACCGCGCGCTCGCTCCACGCCCGAGCCGGTGCGGATCTTGGCACCCTCTTCGTCCCACCTGGGGCAGGAGAGAGGCGCGTTTGCTTTTCTTGGGCGTTTCTTTTCTCTGACTTAACTTTGGGCGAGAGCTCTGGCATCTTTGAACTTAGCGCCGTTGGTAGTTCGCTTGCCTGCCACCGCTTTAGAACCTAGTAATAACTCCACCCAGAGGAGAACTGCTGAACTCCCTGCTGGAGTGAGTCCTGAGTTGTGTAAATGTTACAAGGAAGGAGAGTGACAGCAATTCTCTGACACTCTGCGTGTCCAGGCGGAGAAAGTGACTCCTGAGAATCAAATGGTTGCCAGAGGGAACAGCTCTTCCTACCTTTGTGGTTTGGGACGAGTCTACCGTCTCTGTTACCAGATTATCTCTAAAAGGGCATCCATTTTCAATACTGTGAGATTATGTTACTATGTCCCTTAATTAGAGTCCCTTTTATCAACCTACTAAGAAGATTAAGAATGTGTGACTTTAAGGAAGGGGCACTATGCCTTGTGGGACACTGTCACTCTGCATATTGAAGAGAGCCAGCTCCCCCAAAGACGTGGAAGTTACTATGCATCCTTGGGAAATTCAAGCACCTTGCTCCTTATGCTAAGAAATAAGGTTTGTAATAATCTAATGAACTAAAGAGACTTCAGCTCATATAAATGATAGTTGAAAGAAATATAATAACGTACTGATATACTTTAATCTTTTAGAAAAAACTCAGCGATGGACAAAAAGCCAAGGTTCTGGTGTCTGGGTTTGGGGGGATGTCCCCCACACACCCCTCTATGTAAGCTATCAAATCTTTTCTGAAACTAGTTGGAGGTAAACATCTATAAAATGTAGTTTTATAATTTAATGAAAATAAGTATTGAATGTTGACTAAGCGCAAGGCAACAAGCTGGGTTGCTAGACATCTAGTGGGAAGATGAGGTAGCCTATGTCTTGCAGAAGGAGTGGGGTGGGAAGAAGGAGGCAAGCCGGAAGAGCACTCTAAGGCAGAGTTAGAGCGCATCGGATGGGGCTTAAAGAAGGAACTTCTAGTGCAAAGGTCAGTACTGATTTGCTGAAAGAGTAATACTGAAGACCATGATTGGGGAGATTTCAATAAGACGGTAGATAAGGCAACAAGATGTAGGTGAGACAGAGACCATTCTGGGCAGAGACATCAATCTGAATGTGCATATTTAGATTTCAAGATTTCAGACTGGTGCTCGCTTCTCAGAGAAACACCTTCCCTGACTCCGCCCCCAGAGTAATTTCTCTATTACATGATCCCATAGTACCACATATGTCTTCTTCACAGAATTATGGGAGTTAGCTATTTATCCTCCTTTGTAGGTTGTTGTCTGTCTTCCCCACTAGCCTGCAAACTCCATGAGGGCGGGGACTTTGTAACAGAAAATCCTACTAGCAATGGCTTAATCAAATATGCATTTATCATCCCACTCTATGAAGACAAAGTTGGCTGTTTGAAATTTGGTTCAGCAGCTCAGTGATGTCATCAAGAACCCAAGCTCTGGCCGGGCGCGGTGGCTCACGCCTGTAATCCTAGCTCTCTGGGAGGCCGAGGCGGGCGGGTTGTTTGAGCTCAGGAGTTCGAAACCAGCCTGAGCAAGAGCGAGACCCCGTCTCTACTAAAAACAGAAAGAAATTAATTGGACAACTAAAAATACATAGAAAAAATTAGCCAAGCATGGTGGCGTATGCCTGTAGTCCCAGCTACTCGGGAGGCTGAGGCAAGAGGATCCCTTGAGCCCAGGAGTTTGAGGTTGCTGTGAGCTAGGATGACGCCACGGCACTCTAGCCCGGGCAACACAGTGAGACTCTGTCTCAAAAAAAAAAAAAAAAAAAAAAACCCAAGCTCTTTCCATTTTCCACTGCATTATTCTTAGGATATTGGCTTTTTGACTTAGTCAGAATTGATTAGCAAGTCTCACCTACCCCTTTGCCAGACATTCAATTTCCCAGTTTCCCTTAGGGCTAGGGGTAGCCATATGATTCAGTCTGGCCGATAGAATAAAAGAAGTCTGCAGGGAGTTTCTGAAAAAGATACTTTGCTTCCTGATGAAATAAACAAATTATTTTTTGTTAAAAGAGAGAGGAGGTTTCTGGTGCCAACCGTCCCCCACTGCTTGTCTTTACTGTGGTCAAAGACACACACAGTCCCTGGAGCTGTGGCAGCCATCTAACGACCATAGTCTTTTCTCCTACTGAACTTTTAAAGTCCGCTTTTAAGGTCTCCTCTTAACGGTCAGTCCTATGGACACAGAAAATGTCTAAGACCTTTCCCACAAGAGAGCTTTGCTTTTCTTTCACTTAAAGGTAGAAAGTAAGTACCTTCTAAATCTCCCCTTTCTCAACCTAACTATGCCCACTTTCTTCATCTTTTATCTCCATTTTATTCACCTGTTTCTCAGACCACATGGCCTTCCAGACCCTCCATTAATTATGTTGGCTATTTTCTCGCTAGAAAGGCTCCAGTTTGAGTAGATGTTAGAACATATTGAAACCATTTCTTCTTTTTTTCTGGGCACTGTTCTTCTATTAATACAGCCCAAGATTGCCTTAGCTTTTTTGGCAGCCACATTGCACCAATGATTCACACTGATTTATTTTTTTTAATGTAGTTTTTTCTTTATTTTGAAATGAATTTTATGCTGGTTTCCTCTATCCTGTGCTTTCTAGCTATGTTTCTTTTTTTTTTTTTTAACCCGAGTACAGCCTTTTACATTTTTACTGTAATAGTGTGATGGTTTTGGCCCATTTTTTCATCGTGTTGAAATCTTGCTGGTTTTGCTCTTGTCCCAGTTTTGGGCAATTTCCAAATTCAATAAGCACAGTTTCCATCTTAATCCAAATCATTAATTTTAAAAAGCCATGTTCATTCAGATAGGGCCGGATTCTAGAGCCCTATAGCCACAATACGAAAAATGTTTCCTTATTGATATTAACCCTTCTGGTGTGTCGCTATTCAGGCAGTCAGAGGTGTTAGTGCCCAGAACACGTCTTCATCATGTCTACAAGCATTTCTCAAGAGACTTTGGTCACCTGCCTTTCATAAATCAAGATGCACTGTCCATGGCATTCCTTCCACCTGCCAGTCTGGAAGCCTCATCTGAAGATCCTGAGATGAGCTTGGCTGGCTTTTGAACATCCAAGCTGACATACTGTAAACTCCCTGCATCCTTTGCGAAGGGTGAAGGGCCTACAGATTCCACTTCACTAGATCCTCAGCATGGGTACCGCTCTCCCCGTGTAACAAAAGAAGTGAATGAGGCACCAAGATGGTAATAGGTATGTCAGCTACTCTGTACTGAGAGCTTACATGTGCCAGGCAGCATTTGATGTTTGAAAAAAACCCCGAGGAGATGGTATCATTCCCTCTTACAAACGAGGAAACAGGTTCAGAGAGTGACATACTATGGAAATGTTCAAAGAACCGAGTCTCAGAAAGCCCTAAGTGTGCCACTTCAGCCACCTGAGACCCAGGACCTCACCGGTTGCGGTGGGCCAGCAGGTTGCTGGATTCCGGGGGTTGCTCACTACCGCATCCACCAGCCCTCCCCTGCCAAGTTTGCTTCTGGCAAGAGTATCTGTTTTCCAGTTTACCTGGGAGCCTGCTGGTTTTGCTCTGAAATGTCTGTTGAAAATTTAGGCTTCAGTTGCCAGGTGGGGCTAGGGTGGCTAGAAATGACCTGCCACCTGAGTGTGTAATTTAGAAAATGCACCTGCTCCACAGCAGCAGAACCAAAGCACAGGGCAAAGTCCCACGAGCAACATCATTCTGCCATCTCCCTTCCCTGGCTGGCTACGGGGCGGGAGTCGTGCCAGGGAACTGCCATAAAATGCGGGAAAGGGATGATGGAAAGCACAGCCAAAAATGAGGTCTTTTTTCCCCATGTTCACTCTGCTTTGCTGCTTTCTCAGCTTCGTAGTTTGCCTTTGATCTTCCACGTTCCCTCTCTCCTTTAATTCAGCTGAACTCATTTATTGAACGTATATTATGAGCCAGGCACTCTGTGACCTGCTGAACACACAAAGGTAAAGATGGCAAGACCTTTGCATTTAGGAGCTCGTATTGTAAAGATTATAAATGTGTGATCCTAGGGAGGGGTACAGAAGAGTATTTTTTCCCCTCAAGATATTTTGACAAAGAAAAAGGATTTTTTTCCCCTGGATTTTCCTAGTTTTAAGGACATTTATATTTCTTAATATGCCAACCGTGGTAATTTCTTTTTATTAAACAAAGCTTTACCTAATAAAATTTAGATTAATTAATAAAATTTATATTTTAAGCTAATTAAAGTAAAATCAATATGTGTTTATCAAGAACATATATTTCCATAAAGACATGTCGTTTAGGTCTCTAGATTCTGAGTAAAAATACATTGCTTCCATTTCTGTATTCTTACATTTTCTATATATAGTATTTCACAAAAGATCTTATTTCTGCCACTCTCCTGAGATGGCTTCAACATACCCAGAAATGTATTATCTCTAACATCCTTTCATCCCTTCCCTCATCATTGGAGCTGGAGCTTGCTTCGTTCTGATGTCTTCCCAC